TCCGGAAACTCTTCCATGAGAATTTCGAGCAATTTTTTGGGATTCAAACACAGAACTCACATGTAAAAGACACATTTTCGAGAAAAAAAAGCAAATTTCTTATATAAAAAATTGTTTTAAACACTGACAGATAAAGTACAGAAGTGAGCGATTGGAAACGACGATGGAATCAGCTGAAATCAAAATCCTGGCCTAAAAATAATTTTTTTCAGACAAAAATCCCTTAATTTCCGATTTATTTCTGATTTCGGAAGACAAATAATAGGTTTTTTTTTCATAGTTTTGCTGTCAGAATTCGGAATTCATGCCTTTTCATTGGTTTTTCCTTCATCTCTCAAAGTTTTGTAAACTACAGAAGTGAAAAAAAAACTAAATGAAATCTAACAGAAAAATTTCAGTGCCGAATTGAATTTTAAATTACGTTGTGTCCACTTTCAGATATAGTCGTGGGAAATCTTCCGGAAGTTGTTTTTTCTCAACCTCTTTCACTTTCTTCCTGCTTTAGAAACCACCGAATATGTACGGGTTGCGGTTGAGAAGGGAAACTGGGTGAATTGGTGTAGTGGTGCGCGTGGGTGCACGAAAAACTGAAGTCGCGAGTTCAATCTCGACCAGATCCGAACTTTTTGTTTTTGTGCAACTACCTAGATGTACCCCTTCAGACTGCGTACCCACTCAGTCAATGTACCCCTTGAGCATGATGTACCCTATTTCGATGTACCCCTGGAGAATGGACCGAAATTCTGTCCGAGTTTCTGAGATTTTGAAGTGCTGAAAATCTGAAATTCTCAGACTGTGAAGTTCCGAAATTCTCAGGTTCCGAAATACTGAAATTCCAAAGTTCTGAAATTCAGGAATTCAGAAACTCCCTCAAAAAAAATTGTACCCCCGAATCACAAGCGTTGTACCCCTAAATGAAATGAGTTGTACCCCAGAATCATTGGTAGTTTGTACCCCCGAATCGTTGTACCCCCGAATTTTTGTACCCACGAATTTTTTACCCCCGAATCATCAATTTTGTACCCCTAAATCAGTTGTACCCCCTTGTACCCCCGAATCATTGTACCCCCCGAATTTTGGGCCGGATTTCAGGAATGTAGAAATCTAGAAATCTAAAAATCTAGAAATCTAGAAATCTAGAAATCTAGAAATCTAGAAATCTAGAAATCTAGAAATCTAGAAAACTAGAAATCTAGAAATCTGGAAATCTGGAAATCTGTCAAAATTGAAAAAAAAATAAATATAAACATTATAAAACGGAAAAATAGGTCATCTGCCACGTCACCATTCTTCTGGGAATGTTTCTTCTGAAAAGGTTGTATTGGGGTCGTTTTCAGGGTCGTTTTCAAGTCATTGTGTCGCATTTTCTGGGTTTTTCACATTTGGGCAAAAATCTGAAAATGTTGATTTTTCTGTTTTTTTTTCTCTGAAAATTCTACTCCCTTGGCTCAACCTTAGCTAATCTCTGAATCTCTTTTTTTCTATATTCGCATTTTTCAGTTAGAAAAATTCTAGGAAAAATCCCGAAAATAGACAAAAAAAAAATAAATTTCAGACTGAAATTCCGCATTTTCTCATTGTTTTAGAGTAGATCAAAGAGTCGATAAAAAAAGGAGATCACAAATAATTTTGCGGGAAATTTTTAGTTGTTTTTTGAATCGATTTTTCTCTTCTATATCAGTTTTCCCTTATACCGTAAAACCTCTAATAGAACGACACCCGGATCGTCCACTTTGAGCCTATATATCTCATTTTCTGTGAAAGATATCAAAAAGTAGCTAACTAGTAAAATTTTGCTGATATCCTGATAAACATTTTACTAGTTAATCACTTTTTGATATCTTTCAAAAGAAATGAGATATATAGGCTCAAAGCGGACGATCCGGGTGTCGTTCTATTAGAGGTTTTACGGTAGTTTCCTAATTTTTCTCATTTTTTCGTCATAATTTTTCAGTCAAAATATCTAAAATTTCCAGGCTCTTCCTCACTAATAGAGGATTTTCAAAAAATGGATTCCGACGGTTCAGACGAAATGATGTACGACGATAATCGTGAAATGGAAGAGGAAGATGATAGTGATACGGAGTCAGAGGAGAAAGATGAGAAATCTGATGAGGTGAGGAAATTAAGGGTCCTCAAGTTTGAGCTCAGCTATCTCGATTCTTCTCAAAGATACCAAAAAGCTGTAAACTGATAAAATGTTTTTGATAACATGATGAACATTTTATTAGTTAACAACTTTTTGGCATCTTTCACTGGAACCGAGATAATTTGCCCCAGTTGAAACGTCGTCGCATGCTTTCTGAGCAACGCGCTCGGCTGCCGACCTCTTAACTTTGAGCTCAGTTATCTCGGTTCCTTCAAACAATATGAAAGAGCGGTCAACTGATAAATCATTTATCATACTATCACCAATATTTTATCAGTTGACAAATTCTTGATATCTTTCACAAGAATTTTAAGACCCACATTCCAACCCAAATTAAGTTCCAGATTCTAAATCCCGCCGCCCTAGATAGCACAATGACCACCTCGATCTCAGGAGTCGTGGAAACCCTAGAAATCCCATCTGGCACTGCTCGAATCCTTCTACAGAAATTCAAATGGAACAACGACATTCTAATGGACAAATTCTACGAGAGCACCGATGTGGAGAGCCTTTTGAAAGTTCACAAAATCGAATCTTCTGAATCCCAAGGAGCCTCCGAAACCGGAGACTGTGATATCTGCTGTGACACTGGAACTCTTACCGGAATGTCTTGTGGCCACGTGGCATGTTACGAGTGCTGGAAGATGTTCATCATGGAGCAAGTCAAAGAGGGACACAGTGAGATTCAGTGCATGGCGTCGAAATGTGAACTTTTGATGCCTGATGAGAAAGTTTTGGGGTATTTGGAAGATTCTGAACCTTTGAAAAGTATGATTCTCAATAATTATGTACAAACGAACGTCTTCTTGAAATGGTGTCCAGGACCAAACTGTGAGAACGCCGTAAAAAGTGACTACTGTAATCCCCACCTTGTGACTTGCACCTGTGGCACACGCTTCTGCTTCTCGTGCTGTGACGACTTTCACAACCCAATCAACTGTCGCCAGATGAAGCTATGGCTCAAAAAGTGCAGCGAGAGCGGGGAAAACGCCAAGTGGATTATTCAGAATACAAAGGACTGTCCAAAGTGTCTGACGTCGATTGAGAAGAATGGCGGGTGTAACTATATGAGGTGCACGAAGCCAGCGTGTGGCTATCAGTTTTGTTGGATTTGTATGGACAGTTGGGAGGTGCATAAGCATGCGTGGTATAAATGTAGCAGGTTAGTAGCAGTGCGTCTTTTCAGAAACTTCATTTCCTAGTTTTCTAGATCTTTTTTGAAGTGGTGGCCTAACTTTTGCAAGTTGAGTTTTCTAGGCCACCATGGTGTTCTGGATACTGCCTAACATGCCCCTGGTGTGTTTCTAGGCAAATATGAATTAGTGGACTAAAAAGCTCAACTTGCAAACATCAGACCACCACTACCAAAAAAAGAAGCCCTCTAAATTCAACATTCCAGCTTTGACAAATCCAAGGACACTAATCGAAAGGAGTACCGCAGCAACCACGATCGCTATCTGTTCTTCTACAATCGATTTCGTATTCATGTGGAAAGTGTGAAGCTTGAGAAGAAGGTGAATTAGTTTTTTGGCTTTGCTGACCTCGCTAAATGGGTCAGATATCCTAGTACTGCCAGGCTAATGAAATCCAGCCTGGATGAGTCAAGCTAACCATGCTTAATCAGGCGGAACTCATCTCGACCGGTTAAGGACCCGTCTGGCGCGTCTGGAACTGTTTGGAGCCGTCTGGAGCCGTCTGAAGCCGACTAGACTCGCCTGGAAGCGAATGGACTTGACTAGCTCCGACTGGGACAAGTCCAATGGGATCCAGTCGAGTCTAGACGGGTTCAGATAGGTCCAGACGTATCCAGACAGGATCAGATAAGTTCAGACGGATCCATCAGGGTCCAGTCGGGTCCAGACGGCTTCAGAGAGTGTCCAGTTGGATTACAGTCGGGCCTAGTCGGGTCCATTCACTTCCAGTCGGGTCCAGAAGGCTCCAGACGAGTCCAGTCCTGACCAGACGGGTTTAGTGAGGCCTATACGCTTTCAGTGAGGTCCAGTCGGGTCCAGTCAGTTTCAGTTGGACCCAGTCGCCTTCGGTTAGTTCCAGTCGGGTACAGTCGGGTCCATTCAGGTCCAGAAGTTCCGAAAATGGGCTTAGGCTTGAAATATGCTTAAAATGAGCTTAAATTTTTTTGAATAGGCTGAAAATAGTCTTAATCAGCTCATTGTTCTAAAACCTTCCTCATCTCTTCCCCCAAACTTTTAACCAAAATAGTCATTTTCCCAAATTTTCAGCTCGTCGCGAAAGTCGAAAAACTAATGGACAAAATGCAACAGCGCTCGATCCCCTGGGCCGAGGTTCGCTTCCTGCCAGCCGCCGTCGACACGCTATCCAACTGCCGTCGGACCCTAACGTACACCTACGTCTTTGCCTTCTATCTGAACAGTAACAACCACTCGATTATGTTTGAAAACAATCAGAAGGACCTAGAAATGGCCACTGAGCAATTGTCAGGCTTTTTGGAGCGAGATATGGAGAAGGTGGATGATTTGAAGGCGTTGAATCGAGATGTTCAGGACAAGTGTCGATATGTGGAGCATCGGAGGAAAGTGCTCTTGGATCATTGCTCAGAAGGTGTGGAGCAGGGCATTTGGAATTTTATCGAAGAGTAATAATAATTGTTATTTTATCTCCATGTTTGTATTCTTTTAATGATATTTAAATCAATGAAATTTGATCTTTATTAGGACTTTATCTAGCTAGAGAAACAATTTAAGCTTCAAATGTTCGAACATTATCAAACAGCAGTCTCCTTGGTCCTCCGAATATGTCTCTTGATCCTTCTGATGAGCAATTCCTGATGCATTCTGATTCGAATCTCCTTTTGATCCTTTCGTTTCTTCTTGGCGATTCTGAGCAGCTGGCCAGGGGATTTGTTGGGATCCTCGATGATCACAGGTTCAGATAAGAATATGGAATTGATGGATCCGGCGAGGGAGGTGAACATGGCAGAGATGTGGGTCCAGGGCATTCTCGTCTAATTTCTAGGTCTTTGGATTTTGCTAAATGATTCCTTTGGATCTTATCTTCCGGTTTTCCTTTTGGATCTATTGATTTTTTTCAGTCTAGCCGATTGTGTGTTCTAGAACCTTCCCGGGAGACATAAAATCCTTTGAGATTGATTTAAGAGTGTGAGACCTTGAAACAATCTATTGTATGTTCTAGAACTTTCCCGGGAGAAATAAGACCCTTTAGGACACATTTTTAGGTAACTAATTCCCTCTATGTGCATCTGCGAATAGGTCATCTGCCACGTCACGACTCTCCCGTTGGAAAGTTTCTGTGTGACTCCTAGCCCAGGGTCCTTGGGAAAGGGTCACCGCATGTATTATATCTCTACGACTTCTACCATGCTAGGGACCACGTCTTATCAAGATTGTGGCAATGATCATGAAAGATGGCAACATTACGGTCAGCTAGTGCTAAACATCAGTGCAATTTCGTTCCTACAATGGAATTTTAAGGATTCTCAGGTTCTCATTTTCAGCCACTCCAAAAGCAGGACCAATAAAAAAGGTACAAGAATATTCATTTAGTACAACATATTCAAAAATACAAAAATTATTCAAGCACCTCCTCGGCTTTCTCCTCTTTCTTCTTCGCCTTCTCTCTCACCTTATCCTTCATCTCCTCGATCTGACTCCACAACTTCTTCTGATCTCTCTCCATCTGCATCCACTCGCTTTTCTCAATATCGTCAATTGTGTGTCGAAAATATGGACATTTCAGAAGCATACGTCGGATGAGCTCTAGAAAAAAACTGTATTAAACATTTTTGAAGGAAAGTCTCACCAACTACTTTAGGATCAAGACTGCTCCAGTTTTCGCCATCCGGAGAACCGCCGGCAACCCATTTCATGTAATTGGGGTCGTTTCTGAAACATGAAATGAAAAATGACCAACTTTTTAAAGTTTTTGTCGTTGAGCACCGACGGAAACTTGAGCTGTCAGTCTTGGACTTTTTAAGGCGTCATGTACATCCTAGCTGGATCATGGGGTGACAAACTTTAAACGCCCATATCTCAAAAACCAGTTGAACCATCAAAAAAGAGTCACCTCCAAAAATGTAGAGCCATGAGATTTTACATATTTTGTAGATTACAAATTTTCTCTAGCGTTTTCGATGTTCCAGTTAGACGCCTGAGAAGTGGGAGGGACTCGCTACTCCATCTTGGCCACCGTAGCTCAGCTGGTAGCGGCACCTATAACGGTGGACCCAAATGTTCAACTCTTCAAGAGGCCTTCATAATCAAAATTTCCAAAAAAAAACTAACTTCTCAGCTCTTTCCCATAAATTGATTCTAGTCAAAACCACCACCAAAACGAGTCCACATGCAAAAACATCAATTGGTGGTCCTCGATACCGTATATGAGTGTAAGCCTCCGGCGCCATGTACATCCTGGTCCCATACTTTTTCTCAGCGAACCACACCTCGTTGCCGTCATATCGAAAATGTCTAGCGTTTCCGAAATCCGCTATTTTCAGAGTTGCTGAAATAAAACTTATAATTGAAGGGCATCACATCGTCTAGTTTGAGCTCAGTTATCTCAATTCCTATGCAAGATATCAAACATGTGCCAACTGATAAAATGTTGGAGATATTATGATGAACAGTTTATTAGTTGACAACTTTTTGGTGTCTTTGCCAGGAAACGAGAAAAATTGGCTTAAAGTTATAGACCCACCTCTCTCCTTAAAAACGAGCAAATTATCTGGCTTCAAATCTCTATGAACGACTCCTTGGCTATGCATGTACTTGATTCCTGCCAACAATTGCTTGAAAAAATGATGACCCAATTCTGGAGGCGCTGGCTTCTTCCCAGGCATAATATCCAACAAGTCTCCTCCATCAGCGTACTCCAAAGTCAGATAACAGTTACCAGATTGATTGCTCATCCCAAAAACTTTGATTATAAACTCATTGCTCATCAATTTCTGGTTGATGTAATACTCATCTCGCACATTTTTGACGCCTTTTCTGAGGGGAATTATTTTCAGAGCCATCAGGTTCTCTGGGTTGTGGGTGGACTTCATTAGATGGACATGACCATAGGTACCGGATCGAAGTTTTCGAATATGGTGGTACGGTAGATACGCGAGGCCTGGGAGGTTTTTCAGAATGGGAACTTCTGTTGTTGGAATCGCAGGGGTCATTCTGGAAAAATGTCAGGTTGGGCGGGAATTTTAAAAAATTCGCTGGTGGTATTGTCTATTCAATAAAACGTGGGC